GTTTCCAAATGAGGTTATGTTCAGGATTGGTTCTGGTCCAAGATGGCGACAGAGGAAGACTCTGGATTCCCCACCTCCAGGGACACCCCATATCCACCGCTATTGACTGAGCAGTCCCTCCTGAAGAAGAACTGGGGGCTGACCGAACAGAGGATGACGTGGCAGTGGACAGGCCTCCACCTCTGATGCTGTGACCTGCAGCAGGGGGGCTGGTACCAAGGGACCCCCCCCCCCCCAGCACATTGTCTGCTTGAGGGCACAGAACAAAGCTACAATTGAAAAGATCAATGAGCTTATAAAAGAGACATCCTTAAAATTTTACCAAACAGTGGGGAGCTGCTGGAACTTCCTGGGTCTGGGTCTGGTGAGCCTCATGGTTTACGCTCCTCTTCCCCTTGATAATGTGGATAGGAGCAGGGTCCAGCGTCCTAACTGGCCGGCCATCTCACTGAGCCCAGCAGGTCCCTGAGACCATACCAGTCTCAGCCACCACAGCAAGAGGGCTCCAGCACAGTCCTTGCTCATTACAGCTCCTGCTGTCTCACCAAGGTGACACAGGCACAGAGCGCCCTGGAACAGCCCAGACCTTCACCACGTCAGCTTCTGATGCCTTGCTGGGGTGCTCCAGGGCCACCCAGCTGATGCCTGCTTTGGCTTCAGCAACCCTACCAGGACACCCCCTGCACTGAGCATCCTGGGACATCCTGGCTTGTACCCACTCCACCACAGCTGTCTCATCAGGATGCCTTCTGTATGGAAAGCCCAGGGACCACCCCAGCCTGCACCCACTTCAGCTATAACAGACCTGCCATGGTGCCCCCACACAGAGTGCCCCAAGACCCCAGCCTGCACCTCACCTTGACCCCCAGCCACCTTGCCGGGCCATTCTTTGCACAGCCTGAGCACCCTGGTTGACCCCCTTTGGCTGTCGTGCCAGGGCATCCCCTGGACAAGAGCCCAGAGATTGCATCAGCCTGTGCTCACTTCCCTTTCATGTATTGTCCTGTTGGGATACCCACACTGGGGAGGGCCCTGGGATCCCACCATTTGCAGCCACTTCAGCTTCAGCTGTCTCACCAGAGTACCCTCTGTGTGGAGAGCCTCAGGGCTGTCCCAATCCACTCCCACTGTAGCTCTGGCCATCCCACAGGGCAGCCTCCCCAAAACCCCCAGCCTCCACCAGCCACAGCTCTGTCTAGCCAGCCCTCCACCAGGCACACATTCTACATGGGGGCAACCATACACAGTTCCTCTCCCTCAAATTTAGGGCAAGTAGCTATTGTGCCTAATTGATAAAACCAAACACAGAAAGTCAAGCAGGATGGGTAGATACGGGAATATGCTCCAAAAGAACAAGAGAAAACCTCAGTGACAGAACTACATAAAAACAGAGGAAAGCAGTGTGCCTGACGAAGAACTAACGAACAGTCCTACAGATGTCTGCTCGGCTGGAGAGAAGGTAGGTGAACTTGGTGAGGCCTTCAGCAGAAGTAGGAAGTGTACACAGGAGCCAGTCAGAGCTGAAGAATACGGTCACAGAAAAGAAAACTGCAGTGGACAAGAGGGTGCAGAAGAACGGTCAAGATCTGGGGGATGGGGGATGGAAAGCACCCAAGCTGAATAGCATGAAGAGAAAATGACTTTGAAAATGGAGGGCAGGGTGAGAGATCTATTGGACATACCCAGCGAACAAACATTCCCATTAAAGGAAGGAGAAGAGGTAGAGAAAGGGGCACAAAACCTGTTTGAGGAAGGACAAGGTTACATGCACAGGAACTGGGGTGAACATATAGACTCGTTCTCAGGGGCCGCTGATCAGCATATATATAGCCTCATTCTCAGGGGCCGCTGTGTGCCTGGTTTCACACAGTGTGTAGGGTTCTGACATCACGCAGTTGGCAAGATGCTACATCTCCCCCTCCTAAGGAAAACCCTATGAATGAGAAAGCATATGGATTATCTTGAATGTTCTAAATCTGTATCATACTCAGAAAAAAACAGGGGTGATTGGGAAGGGGTGGGGAGTCGGTGAGACGCAGGTACAGCTCCAGATTGACAGGCTCCCTGGTCGGAGTGTGTGGCCTTGCCCACGTGGTGGGAGCAATGGGGGGCTTCCTCCAGAAGCAGTATGCACACTGCAGGGCGTCAGGGACATTCTGCATCCTGCCTGAGGGGAGCCTGTCTGGGAAGAGATACTAGCCGCACCAATCACAGTGGGATCATCCTGAGGTGTTTGCCCTTGAAATGATGTCCCATCTGGGGCTTGCCTGAGAATAACCGGAGGTGGTAAGGGAGCCAGGAAGTGAGTGGAGATAGGGATGACGTGAGGTAGCTACACATTGGGAATGTGGTAAAGCACACCTGACATAGACCATTTTACTGTGGGAGGTACCCAGCTCCGGAGTATTGAGTGCATGGACGTCCCCACGCCCTCCTCACTGCTCAGCCTGCAGGACTGATCCTCCAGCCTCCTTAACCGACTCTGCTCCCTCCACCGCTATTTTCTGACGCCTCGAGCTCCAGGACCCCACGTCCCTCAGATACTCAGAATCACATGGCAGTTTGTCCTCTTATGACTGCTTGCTTCCCTTGGAATGATGTCCTCAAGGTTCTCCCGTGTTCCAGTGTGTGCCCGGATTTCCTTCTGTTTTAAGCTGAGTAATGCCCCATAAGCATAATACCAGCTTTGTTCTGCTTGTCCAGCTGTGTGCACAGACAGGAGGTGGCTTCCCCTGTCAGCTGTATGAGCATGGAGTCCAGACGTCTTGTGGAGACTCTGCTCTCACTTCTTTTAGGTGTATACCCGGCAGTGGGATTGCTGGGTCAGATGGTGGTTCTGTGCTCAGTTTCTGTAGGAATCGCTGCAAATCTGTGTTTTCTAAACAGGCTGCCCTCCTTCATTCCCACCAGCACAGGGGTTCCTGTGTCCTCGTTATTTTCTGGAGCTTACGGTAGCTGTCCTACGAGGTGGGAGCTGACAGCTCATGGTGGTTTGCATTTGCATATCCCTCTTGACAAGTGATGTTGAGAATTTTTTCACGTGCTTGTTGGCCCCTTGTGTGTCGTTTTTGGAGAAATGTCTTCATTATGCACATTTTTAATCCAGTTGTTTGGTTTTTGTTGTTGACGTTTCTGCTGACTTTTAAATCCTGGTTGGTGATGTTTATGTCACTCATGAAACCACAGGTGATAAGAGCATTTCCTATGCATGTGATCGGTCAGTGGCTTATGTACATGTGAAATCAAGCACTGTTGAATTTACAGTATTAAATGTTGAATTTTAATTTGGGAAGCATTTATCTTTCTTACCAACTTTTATATATATGTTTTTGACCTGTGAGTATGAAAACCACTGAAGATACACTTTGTGAAAATGGCATCTAAGTTTCTGTAGAGAGCCTTTTCTCTTGATTATCCATGTGGACCCAGGTGGGCCATGGTGACTGGTTTAGGCCTGGGGCCTGACCCAGTCCAATGAGCGCCTTTACTGCCTGCACAGCCCAGCAGGGATGGGGAGCCCCAGGTGCCATGGTCACACCGCCGGTTATATACCTGCTGGAGGGACGAGCCTCTGCAGCCACACCTGCTGTGTGTGTGCGGGGTAGAACGGGATCTGCCGGGCTCCCTCCAGGGCAGGGGCAGGGGGCCACCTCCTTTGTCCCCTCGTCCGGCATCCAGTGTGGTTTACACGGCACAGTTTGTAGACAACAGTCTGCGCTTCTGGGTGTGCTCATGACTCTAGTTAGGAGAGCTGCGCTCTTCAGATTTGAAAGCTGCTGTGTTCAGGATCTGAATTCATGACAGCTGACTTGTGTGAGACGGAATGTGACACCCAAGGACCAGCCACTTTCCACGAGTTCCCACTGCTGCATGTGAAGCTTTTGCATGTTTTTGTAAACATACTTGTACTTGTCATGATTTACAAACGGTTGTCAGTGTGCTTGGAGTCTGTTCTGACTGTGATAAATGGGTTTCCCTGGCATGTGCAGCTGCGTTCATTAAATGTGAACACTAGTGAGTGGAGGAGCCATCACTGCTTTCTCGGTGAGTGTGCTGGGAATCAGCAGCATTAGCCTGTGGCCCTAGCATCAGACTTGGACCTCCACCAGCCGGCTTGTTGCCTCCAGCATTAGCCTGTGGCCTGAACATCAGACCCGGACCTCCACCAGCCAGCTTGTCGGCTGTCCACAGGGCCTCCCTCTGATTCCAGACCAAAAACCAGCCAGTGTCAATGTGTTGAAAATAAAAATTGTGTGCATCTTTACTTTCGAGGGGGTGGACTGCTGTGTACAGTTATTTTTTTTTAAACTATAAATTGCCTTTTGAGAAAATGTGTTCCAGTTGTTTGGTTACTGCCTTAAATTGTTTCCTTATTTTAGCCAAAAAAAAAAAAAAAAAAAAGGGGAAAGCTTTTAATTAGATGCACTTATGGGAAAATGAACAATTTCCTTCACCTGGCTTCAGTTAAGTGTCATAACAGTTGGCACTGTTTGGTTGACGCTTCCTAGGAAAGCGTTGCTGTGCAGCGGTGGTGCTGGTAAGACCTGTGAGCCTGCAGGAGATGAAGGGAACCCTGGATCAGGAATATGGCGCATCATGACTCAGTGTTGGGCATCCTGTTCTCCCACTGATCTCTCCCCAAAGCATTTCTGGTGGTGTTTATCATGTCTGTGTTGTTGTGAAGTCTCCGTTGACGGCCGTATAGAAAGAACCTCTGGGAGAGTCTGAAACGTGTTCCACCCTTTCTGGTATGACATTCTCAAAAGAACCAGGATAGATCTCAGACTTGTCAAAGCAAGCAACAGATGAGACGTTAACCTCATAACTTCAGACCTGTGATATGCTGCTTTCAGAGTTACTGGTTGCTTTCAGAATTCAACATGATTTTTGTTTTGGTCTTCTGAATTGCAAACGATATTATCTTTTTTTTTTTTTAAATAAAAGCCAAATGAATAATATCTCTCTGTAAAAGTATTTAATAAAATGTATCTTTATTTCAGTATCTTAAATAGTGACGATGAAGAAATATTCAGTAATGAAGAACAGAAATACACATCCAAAAAGAGGAAAAAGGATCATTTTAGAAATGATACAAATACTCAGTGTAAGATCATTTTTATTAATGATTTTATGATGTTTTTACTTGTTTTATATATTGATATACTACATTGTTCTGATAATGCTATCTCAAGAAATAAAAGACAATGCGTGAATGATAGCTCTGTATCCAGTGTTGCCCACTGACTTGGTTATCAGACCATTTGCAGCGTTAACTAGTAAGATTTGCAAAAACAAAAGGTAGCAAAACCTGCAAAGCAGCTCGTGCATCTGAATGACCGAAATGGTCGTGAGTTCAGTGACGAGTTCAGTGACCAGTTCCCTCCCAAGCAAAGAGACCAGACTGCAAGGTGTCTTGCTTTTGGACTCCTCTGTAGGAGACCCGGCCAGAGCTGGCCAAGAAGGAAGGGCTGGACATCTGTAGGCCGGGCGGGGATAGGGAGCCTCCTGGCGGTAGCTTGCCTCCCTGACAGGCTGCATTCCTCTTGAGGCGCAGCCTGGAGTTTCTGGGAACCGTCTTAGGGCGTTCAGGCTACTCAATAAGAACAGGTTCTGTGGAGAATAGAGTGTCGCACTCCTTGGGTGTGGGTCTGAATTACATGAAAAAGGCAACAAGACAAGAATTATTAGGACACACAGAATTAATTCCTAATCACAGGTTTGTAGTTAACTATAGTTTTATAGTTTGGTATTACCACAGTTGTTAGTAGTGTTGGTTTTCTTTTAAGTTACAAAGACTTGGGGCTGCCTTAAATAATTTTTCATGTAAATATATTTCAGCATCTCTTAAAATGATGTCAGGAAATAGAGCAGTTCTGTTGACATTTAACCAAGTGAAAGCATCTCTTATTTATATGTCAGATAATTTTGTGAGCATGTACAACTGTTGAAGTTCCATAAAAATCTTCATTTTAAATGATTTGCCAGATTTTAAAAACAAAGTTAATTCTTATTCTAGGTTTTTATCGTGAGAAATGGATCTATGTTCATAAAGAAAGCACAAGAGAAGTAAGTATTCTCTTCTAATTAAGAGTATATATTTGGTGCTTCTGTTGAATATGTAATGTCATATTAAATAAATTATTTCTTTTGCAGTATGAAATCTATGATTCACATTCTAGCAGATGAAAATATAGGACCTTTGAAGCGGTGATTCGTGTGTGCATGTGTGTGCATGCACGCGTGTGTGTACATGTGCATGCGCATGTGCAGTGTGTGGTTAGCGTCCCCAGTGCAAATCTGAATCCACCAAAGGCCTGTGTTGGAACAAGTATGGACCCTTAGATGGTTTGACATTTTCTCCCTACCTCTCCCCAAAAGCCACTGGTGTGAGCCTCTGGTGCTGCTGCAGTGTGTGTCCTTACTCCCATGTGCTTTGGGTGGTGAGAACATTGGTGGCCCCCATTTAGAACCAATGCAACGTTGTAGATAAGTCTGAACCTGTCAAGAGCTGTGTGAGCCCTTCCGGCTCCTGTCTTTTGCCAATTTGGCTGCAGCTTTTTTTATGAGCCATGGATAGTTCACTTCCACTCTGCTTTTTTCTCTGCTCAGTATCCAGGGAGGCTTCCTTCATTTTGCAGTATGAGAGACTCATTTGCTGTATTTTGCAGCAATTGGGGAGCATAATTTAGGGAGTAGTTGTTTAGCATAGATATAACATTCCAGAAGTGTTAATAATGGATGTTCTGCTATGGCTCTGCTCCCTAGAAGCTTAGGAGTTTCTGAGCCAGAAGACTGATTTGGCCTGTTGGTGATGGGTAGGACTGGTGCGTGGGTTCGAGACTGCTCTCGGCTCACACACGCTCTGAGTGAGGCGTGTCAGAAGCGCTTGGTAGAATCTGATGGATGGGGCTTATGAAAGACTGTCTAGTACTTCATCTGCTGTGTTACCGCACCAAGTACAGAGTAGACACCCATTCGGGGGAGCATACGCGGCAGTGTGAGTCTGCAGAGGTGTTGTGTGGGCCCTGGGACAGGGACACAGCCAGGCTTGGGGGGCTCTGGGCTTCCTGTACTCAGCTGCATCTCTGGCTTAGCACCTGCTGCAGACCAGGCACCTCTCCTGCTGGTCTGCACGGCCCGCTGTGGCTGCCCCACAGCCTCTGAGGTTCCATGTGTCGTTCTGGGCCCACCAGACTCAGGTGGACTCGTGTGGCCCAAACATGTGTTTTACAGTCTGTGAATCAGATTTAATTCCCCAAAAAAGAAGAGGCCGCTGTGACACGAGTAGCTGCCTGGGAAGGAGTCTGTGTCTGTACCAGCATTTAGAGCTCTGTTCATTGCGAAGAAAAGGGAATTAAAGTAGAGATGTCAGCAGTGATTGACTTTGGATTATAATCTATAATTAACCTTTGCTTCCTGCACAGCTCCCAGGAAAACAGTTTGCATATAGTATTCATTAATAATGTATTTTGCTTTAAAAACATGTGTTTTGTTGATTTGTGCACATATTAGGATTGTTCTTGGGATTTGGGCACAAACCAAATAAACCTTCACGGGACATCCTAGGTCTGAGACTCAGGTGTGCGCTCCAGCTGCTTTGCTAACCCCTGTCCTGGTATCGGTTAGAGATGCGAGGGGTAATCTGTCACCTCCTGTGTCTAGGATTATCACCAGCTCCTCTAACCCCACAACTATGACTTGAAAGTCTCTATATACTCTCAGGATTTCAAATACAGAAGATGGAGTTTGAAATGAGTCCTGACACCTAGGATACAACCCTGTGCAAACTGTGTAGAATGTAGGATATATTGTGAGGGATGCATAGCTGAAGTAGATGGCAGTGTTTTCAGTACTGAGAACACATCCCTTGTGTTCCATGTCTTCCCTTGGACTCTGGGACCCGTCTTGTCTGACGACCAGCTCCGGGGTTTCCCCAGCTGGAAACCGTACATAGTCACCCCCTGACTCCGGGCCTTGGTCCTGTGCACGGGGCACCTTCTAGACCCACAGAGGAATTGGGTGTTCCAACGTGTGTGTCTGCAGCAGACACATCTTCACAGCAGCTGGGCAGATGATTTGTGTATCTGTAGGTGCTTAGCTCAGAACACATCCCATTGTGATTTCAGTTCCCAAGCTCATCCCGACCAGAGAAATCAACAAGATATTTAATACATATTTGGCTTTATCTCAGTAGTGATGTAAGAATAGCAGAGTATAATGTCCTGATTATAAATGACTTATATTTAACATTGCGGTTTTACACCATGCTAATCTAAATGTAGAATAAATCATAAAAACAAATGCCCTTTGCTGAAATTAAAAAAAATTGCACAGACTAATTCGCATTAACTGTCACTTTATTTTGACTAATTGACTGATGATGGATTTCAACTGTTTTGTGTCTGTTTTTCCAGAGGCATGGCTATTGTACTTTGGGAGAGGCTTTCAATCGCTTAGACTTCTCAAGTGCAATTCAGGATATTCGAAGGTTCACTTACGTGGTCAAAGTAAGTCTTCCGTTTCAAAAGCCATTTGATGACACTTGATGGACTGGGTTTTGAAGGTGACAAGTGTAAATATTTAAGACGCTTCTGGCATTGGTGGAAAGTTGTGCTTGTTTGGTAGCAGAATAGAACATGAAGAGTGAGCTCGGGGTGACAGAAATAGTGGGGTTCTCTCCTGCCCTGGTGTCCCACACGCTTTCTCCCAGGGACATATCATGTTGCAGGTTTCGGCCAGCACACACATAGGTGCATTGCTGTGGGAGACCCAGAAGGGCGCACACAGGCTCTTCCTGAGGTTCCGGCCTCATGATTTCACGTGCATTTTCTCCTCCGTGTTCCTCACAAGCATGAGCTCTGCTTCATAGACAAGCAGCAAGCTGATAAGAAAAAGGGAATTGATATACAGTGGATCTCCACAGAAGCCTTGATTGTGTTGATGATCTATTTGTAGAGGAAATTTTTATCTTGGCTCAAAAAGAATGTATATCATGTGTTACATGCATTGTAGATAAAATGTAAGCAATGGGTTGTGATGATGTTAATTTTGGGTTTTTTGTTTTTTTTTTTTTAAATTTTTATGATAGTCACAGAGAGAGAGAGAGGCAGAGACACAGGCAGAGGGAGAAGCAGGCTCCATGCACCGGAAGCCCGATGTGGGATTCAATCCTGGGTCTCCAGGATTGCGCCCTGGGCCAAAGGCAGGCGCCAAACCGCTGCGCCACCCAGGGATCCCTGCGCCACCCAGGGATCCCTAATTTTGGGTTTTTAATAGGGCTGAGACATTAGAAATATTTTCCTTGTAACGATTTTTAGGAAATGAAAAGTATTGGGATACCTTGGTGGCTCAGTGGTTGAGCATCTGCCTTTGGTTCAGGTTGTGATCCTGGGGTCCTGGGATCCAGTCTCACATCCGGCTTCCTGGCAGGGAGCCTGCTTCTCCCTCTGCCTGTGTCTCTGCCTCTCTCTCTGTCTCTCATGAATAAATAAAATCTTTAAAAAAATTAAAAAAGTAGTATTAGTGGCAGGACAGATATATTGGGGGTTAAATCACTTTATACCTGAGGTAATAGTACGTGTTTGGTTTGGCCCCAGAGTTTGCCAGGGTGTCCTATGTGACCAGCATGTGGGGCACATGGGGCACCTGTGTGCCATGTGCTTCCTGGGAGTCCCGTGCACTGGGGCCCGATGGGGTGTGTTCTGATGCACACACTGGCCAATGGGGCACGTCTGTCATTCACCTTCTCTGGGTGAGGCACTGCATTTAGACTCCTCCAGTTCAGAGTGTCCAGAATCCAGGGGCCAGGAAACGGTGTGTTAGCACAGAGGTCTCTGTTCTTGTAAATATTTCTCCGCGGCACCATCTTCAAGTTCGGGACACCCTGAGTTGTTGTGTCCTAGTAGCCACTTTTGAGCACCCCATGCAGAAGTAGAGAGACTTCATTGCAGGGGTGGACTAGGAGTTGTGCAGGGGTGTGACCACTCTGTGCTCAGATGAGGCACATCTGAAGTTCTTCCTTCCTATTGCCTGATCCTCCTCACTATTTGTTCATTCTGTCTGCATGCCACACTCTTGCCTGCTGAAGAGCCTTTCCTCATGTGTCTTTCGTGTTTTTGAAAATGAAAATACCAGCGTTAGCCTCACCCTAACTGTGAGGGTTAACCCAGCGTTAGCTGTAAAATTGTAGGTTTCCTCTACTGATTGTTTTCTGATACCTACAAAATGCATAAGTATAAAGTTAAAATGTGTCACATGCATTGTCAATTGAAATGCTCTTGTACCCTTCTAGAAGTACCGCCAGTCTCTGAGTTGTCCTGTGGAGATGGTGTGCGCGGGACCTGGTGACCTGAGAAGGTGCTGAGGCCGTGTGTGCGAGGCTTGACAGGCTTAGTCACTGCCCAGCAGGAACCTCACCTCTCATCCCCACCCCTGCCCACGTGCACCCCTCCATAGACCAGCAGGGTTGCCTTCCAAAGAGCCCATTTGCTCATGTCCGCCTTTTGCTAACAGCAAAGACAGACACCAGCCGTCAGTGATGCTGTGCATCAGTGCACGTGCCACTGCAGACACCTGCTGTGGGGCCTTAGCTCCCTGCCCTCCCTCTGGCACCTCCCCTGCCCATGCCGGCTTTCCTGCTCTCTCCCAGTGCATTATGTTTTCACCTCCAGAGTAGCTTGGGACTCCCTTCCCCGACTCCGCTCTGCTTACTGCCACCCTCTCATGGAGATGCAGTGTCTCCATGTGCTTGGGCGTGAGGTACTCCTTTTTTTTTTTTTTTTTGTGAGGTGCTCTTCTTGTTGACCAGCAGGGCGTGTGCTCCTTGACCTGTGCTGATGGCAGATGACCTTGACCTCAGGAGCCACTGCTTGGAGTTTTGTGATGCTTTAAATGTGTGTAGCAGCTCTTCCTACATCAGCATCTAGGAGGATTCCTGTGTTCTTCTCAGGAAGGTGATTTCCCGTAATTAATGCTGAGCTGTCTGCACTCATTAATGTTGGAACACATATAAGCAAGATGTGAGGCAGCAGCGGGTTTGAAACCTTTGATAAAGAGTTTCCTTATGTTTGTAAAGGTGTTCAGGGATGGTTTTCCTGAGGATGTGTATGAAAGAAAGGAAGAATATTCTATATGAGATCCTTTTGTTCTCTTAAAGTCAGCAATTTTAAACTGAGACTAGTCAATAATTATTACATTTCCTGAATAAAAATTATTAGTTATCGTCCAGTTATACATTGTGTTGCTGAGGTAAAGATAAGTAGTTTTGAGTGGAGGTGTGACCATTCCTGGCATTATCTGTCAATACCTGAAACATTTTCTTATCTAGGTTACTTTAATAGTTTTTCCATAATTTTTCTCTGAGTTTGAGGAATTAATGTTGCTTTTCCAAGCTGTACTCAACTTTTTATAGAAGAGAAAATAATTTTAGGTGCCATGTTCTCCAGACACCCATAGCTGTCCTAGGATTAGGGCTGAACCATGTGTCACCGCCGCACCTGCATGCTGGCAGGAGCCCCAGGGATGCCTCCAAGTGGCAGTGAGCAGTGCCTTGGAGGTTGGCAGGAGCTTGTCCCACTCTCCTGCACCAGGGCAGGTTCCTGAATTCATGCATGTGGGCAGGTGCATGTGCCTGCATCCACGCAGCTGGGGAGCATGAGTTCAAGCACCACTTGTTGCTCTAGGCTAGCACGCACACACACCAGCACTCATAGCACCAGCAGCCCCAGACTTTGTGCACGTACTTGTGAGGTCATTGTCCTTCATCATCCGTGTTCAGACTTCATGAGCGTGCTGCCCCATACTAGCTTCAGGCTAATCAGTCATCATGATGTCAGACTGCTCTTCAAACCTACCTCCTATTCAAAACCAGCTTCTTCCTGTTATAATAGTTCGTGATAATTGTCTTGGCCAGTTACTAAATAGCCTTAGCATAATGTATTGAGCTGTTAGGGGCATCTGGGGGGCTCAGATGGTTGAGCATCTGCCTTTGGCTTAGGTCATAATATCAGGGTTCTCTGGTCGAGCCCCACCTTGGGCTCCCTGCTCAGTGAGGAGTCTGCTTCTCCCTCTCTCTCTGCCTTGCCACTTCCCCTGCTTATTCTCTCTCTGTGTGTCAAATAACAAAAATTAAAAAAAAATTGAGCTATTAAATTTACTTCCAGAAAGTCAATGCAAACTGAAATATTTTCACTAAGTAGTAATTTTTCTCTTATTAACTGTCTGCAATTATTATTTCATAATATGCCCTGAGAAATTTCCTTATTAATAAAAAAAGACAAGTCAACTTGCAGCTTGGATTTGACCCTTGGTGAGTGAACAGTTCTTAATATCTGATCCATGATTCTGCTGACTTTCACTTACCCATTTCTAAGTCATGTATAAGTAAATTAAATGCATTTTTGGTCAATTTTATGAGCTTACTTTCATTAAAATAAAGACAGATTTGGTGGAATTTTGAAAAGTTTACTTAAGAAAATCAGCCACACACTTGGAAATGTAGCAAGCCAGCACTTTCAGAGAATCTTCTACACCAGATTCCAGCCACACTCTGCCATCAACACTTGTCCTCTCTGTGAGCGAAGCCACATTGAAGGAGATGGGCCTTTGCAGATCCAGCCATGCCCAGGCTCCGCCTCCCCAGTCAGGGCCTCCCTCCTGTGTGGGCGGCCCATGGGTGTGGGTTTGGTCATTTGTCCAGTGCATTGGTCATCACTGCCAGACTCCCCTGAGCCCCAGGAGCATAGGGACTCCACCAGCTTTGCTCACTGCAGAGCCCCCAGTGCCCAGTGTGATGCCACCTCCATCCAGGTGGAATGAAGGTGCGCTGGCAGGTAGCTGGCAGCCAGGACAGCAGTAGGTAAAGATGTAGGGATTAGTAACACAAAGCAGGTTCATCCTGTAGGCGTCTGGGTTACCCTCTGTGTCCTGTTTCCTGCAGAGTCCCAGGAGAACAGCAGACTGCTGGGTCCCTCAGGACAGGTGGTGGCTTCTGGGGACCAGGCATGCGTGGACAGTGGGGCAGCATCTGGGGACAGTGGGTTGAAGGGCTATATGCATGTTTCAGGAAATTTGTGAAAGCAACACAGGGCAACAGTTGAAACTTGCAAATGTTGGATATGCTGTATTTCCTAAAGTAGGGACTCCGTGGGGAAAATCTGCTCAGGAGCATAAAGTGTTTATGCCTTAATTTGTGTTACATGGAAAGTGTACCTGAAGTCCGTCCTTCCGGCCTTGCCACTATCTCTGGTGTGTTATTTACCTTCTTCTGCTTCCACGTGGTGATTCTCTAATTGGATAGGCTTTGTAGTTAGAAGATGGTATATGGTATATGCTCATGAGGGAATGTGGCCCCAGGCCATTGTACCGCCAACACCCTCCCATGGGTGGCTGTACCTCCCCTCCATGGCCCCAGTCGGCTGTACATTTCCTTCCTCCCCCAGGAATGTGCCTCCCTCTCCCCCACAGGTGGCCACTGTCCATTTCTCGGCTATTCTCCAGGAAGTGTTCTCTTTCCTAAACAAATGTGCCTGCCTATTTACATTTTTGTGGCAACGCACAGAATTTTAAGTCCCAGGTATTGTTCTGTGATACTGAGAATGCAGCTTAAGCTCCTTTCTAGACAGGTGTATTCCTTGCTATGTCCTACATTTTCCTAGACAAACAGTGTTTATCTTCTAATGGTGTCAGAGTTGGTTCTTCATTTTAATTCTTTGTGCACTTGTAATCGGAACCTGTCTTATATATGGACAGTTTGGTTGAAACTTAAACTTTATTTAAAACCTTTCATGGGAACATCTGTTTTTCTCTGCGATGGTAAATTTAATATTTAGCTTCTTCCAACTTGAGTTGGTCTGTCATTCCCAGCATAATAAGGCTGAGTCACCTGTGGGATTTCCATGCAGCACTTCTGTGATGTTGAGGACAGGTCCTGTACTGTATTCTTCCTAGATTTATGAAACTTGAGTGCACCCTCTGCAATTTAATCACAGAGATACGTGGTGAGTGGTATTGCTAACAAACATTCCATGTTCCCCAGGGCTCGTCACCTGCTCAGGGACAGGTGTGGTCAAGGACAGGATGTCTGCAGACCTAGCGTCTGTGGTCTTTAGGCCCCGACTCATCCTGCAATCATGTGAGAGGAGTTTGTTAATCCCTCATCACACTAGGAGAGGAGAAAATATTCCTTAAATGGCTATGTTTCTATGTGGCTAACAAAGGAATCCATCAGGTTAGTCACTGAGAAGTGGGTCATGGGAGATTCCAGTTCAGGTAAGATGGTGTCTCACAGGACAGCGTGTCCTGGGGCAATGGTGTTTCCCTGCAGAGGTGGTATGTTCTAAAAGCACATATAGTGTTCTGAAAGAGAATTTCAGCAGCTTCCTGACTCATTAAAGGGCGGAAACCAGATTTCTGTAAGGGGCTGTCCAGGAATTGGACCAGGAGGAGAAAACAAGTTGGGATCGCATGGCTCTAGCCCCCAAGTAAAGATGTGGTGTGGATGGCCAAGGATGCTCATACCCAGGACACCTCCAAAGGCCTACAGCTAGCTCATGGTGCCCACATGAAAAGTTCAGAGTTTTGGAGTTTCACTTATGTCCTTTACTGGTGGGTACTTCCCTTCTGACCATTCCACATTCCTGCTGCATTTGAATCATCAGAATTATCACTTTTTCTAGGAAATATATCCAAGTAGTGACTCTGCGGGGTGGAATAACAATCCCTAAAAGTCTGTGTCTACATGGAGCCTTAAAATGAGAAGCCAGGGCAAGGCGGGAAGGACTCTCCTCTGTGGCCCCTGGGAACTGAAGTGCAATGGGAAGGGCCCTTCCCTTTAAATAGCAGTGAGGATAAGTCAAAAGCCCTCTCTGGCTAGAATATTTTGTGATGTGGATGTTTCTGAGCTTTCTCCTAATCTCTGCGGAGGACTGTAGCATCCCCAGTTTATACTGATGCACAGAGGGAGGGTCAGAGGTGGGTAGTGGGCTGGGAGCCTCACTGCCCCTCTGGGTTCAGTCTCATTTCCTTATCGGGGATCCTGGGCACATTTCTGAACCTCGCATGTTGGGCCTCTGATGGGTTTAGTATCTACCTCCAAGGGCTGCCATGGGGAGTGTGCTAGTTAAATCATATCCTGCTCTGTGTCGGCAGTGTTTACACTATCTCTTCAGGGTGATTTGGACAAAGGGGCCACAGCTGTGGACAGGGCCATTTATGCCCCAAGATGTAAGGATGGGAGACAGGCGGGGACAAGGAGCCAGGGGGATACCACATGCGCCGCTGCCCCAGTACCGAAAGAGAAGACTTGGCTGTGTAAGGCCTCACTGTTCTTAATTTTAGGAACTTTCCCTCTCAAAGAAAACAAGGGACTTTCCTAAATGTGCCCTATGACATCTTGAAATAGTGTCCTTTTGAGGTCAGTGAGACTGTTGAAAAGGACTCTAAGGTTTCCAGTCCTGTTTGCAGCCAGACCTTGGCTGGTTGCAGGTAAGTGATCACCATGTTGGAATCCTCTTGCCCCACCCCAAGCACTGCAACCAGCACCTGGAGGTCGGGGGGTGGTGGTGGTGGTGGTGGTGGTGTCCTCCCCAGAGTGGGTGAACAGGGACAAACGAGCCACTGTTGATGGGAATTGTGTGGTGTCTTAGGCCAGTTATTTCCTACCATTGTTAGGTATTTACCATGAGTTCTGCTGAAGGTACAAACTGGCTTGTAGGATACTCTACAGTAATTAAATTTTTGCTGGCTATTTTACCGAACCTATGGTTTCTCCTCCTTTCAAGGAAACTGGGTATTTAGAAATGGAGAAAGTTTGTTTTTTATTATAAAACTAAAATTACTCACAAAAGGAAGTCTTCTGTGTTCCTTAGGACGAAACCTTTATTTTCCTTAAATCTTCCTATTGTCGATTCGAGAATTGGCTCCTAACTGCGAGTGTTTGCTAACTCTTCTCCCCACACACTGTGTTGGATTAAAGCATACTAGCAAAATATGTGAGTTCCCCTAAAAGCGAGATTCTTTACAGAGGAAGGACTGAGAAATGACAATGCACGCCCCATGGAGATGCCTGCTTTCTGTTTTTTCTTAATTTTTACTTCACTACAGAATGTGTTAAGTACAGTATGGTACTACCATGGGCATTTACGCATCTAGTGTGTGACTTGACAAGTAGGACACTCCTGACGGTCCGTCAGTCGACATGCCACCACCTGTGGACATCTCTGCTGCTGACTTCTGCCTCGGAGGTTGAATCTCCTGACTTTCCTGTTTATCGTTCTGTCACCTTTGGAAAATACTTTTATTTGTGTCTTTGTTTAAAATTGTATATTAGTAGAATAGTATTGTGATTTTGAGAAACGCATATGTTCCATTCAGTATTCTGCGAGATGTCAGTTTACAGTCAAAAGAAGCGCTCTTTAACGGACTTGACACTTTGACCTTATAAAATTAAATTCGATGTTGTAGTTCTGACATTTTTAAGTGATGTGGCATAAATTGATGATTGTGGTAGATGGGTATGTCCTGGCATGAGAACACTGGGAGTGTAGACGTTTGTTCTGTAGAGGGCAGGCCAGCAGAAGCATGTCCTCCAGAAACCTGAAATGTCCCTGTCACAGGTCTACAGGGACCAGTGCCAGCTTTAACTGTCCGCCTGCCAGTGTTATCGGTGAGACAACCTGCATGATCAACAGAGCCACCGAGGGGTCCTGTGACAAGAGTAAAATTGTAAATTGTGACACAATATAATTTAAATGAAATAGCAGTCCTTTCTTCGCCACTTCTAGAAGTCTGTGAATAAGACAAAAGGCCTGAGGATGTTAATTCCCAAGGAGAGGGAGAGAAGGGACAAAGCAAGAAGTGGGAACCCTGACTCACAAACTATCTGCCCAAGCCTATCCCCAAATGGGAGGCTTGTTTCAAACGCAGTCTATGTCATTGTGATGCCTGTTGGCCTCTGAGCAGAGGGACAGGGTCCTAGGACACCAGCCCAGACTGCAGGGGCGCATCCAGGGTCAGGGTCATGGTTCTCCTCTGGCTCATGAGAGCTGCTTAGCATGTTCTGTGTTACAGAGTTTCAATCATGTTCCCTTTTTGTTAAATGTTAAATTGAGAAGATTTTTAAATGATCACATTATGAAGTTTTAAATCACTGAAGGCTGTTTGAAGCTGGCAAGTGGGAGCGACACATGGGTGATAAGATCAGGAGTGGAAGCAGGACTGGGCCTGTCTTAGGCATGTCTGGTTTGATGTGATGGGACCTGAGGGCTGTGCCCTGCAGTCTGTGTGTCTGTGATCGCTGTAGCTGAGGACACTTATGGAAGCATATTAGAGATCACAGGATGATTTCCACCAAGATCATCATGTGATCCTCCTATATAAAACATTAGTTTTGGACTGCTGCAGTCTACTTGGGTTTCTTTTCTCCTTCTAGAAACCAGCAAGGTGAACAGGAGGGGAGGGTGGAGAATCCCACGTTCAGGCAGGTGTAACTACCAAAAGCAGCTGCGATTGGCAGAAATGGTCCCCATTTCTGAACAGGTGTGTTCCCACTTGGCCGTGGAGGCCTGGCTCTGGGTTCCCTGCAAATCCTGTTTGTGGAGAGCAGCTTTCTGCGCAGCATTGTTGGGGTGAGGAGCTTGGGAGGTCCTGTAGAACAGGTGCAGGAGAGAGTATGAGCAGAGGTGTGAGTCCACTAGGGAGGTGCGTCAGGGAGTCCGTGACACCGCCACCTGGTATTTCCAATTGTCCAGGAATGGAGCTGTGAAGTCAGACCCCATTGGGGGTGTGGGGAGTTAGACCGGGGTCCTTAGGAACACAGGAGGCACTGGTGGGGCAGGTGAGGGGCCCAAGAGGAGTGGACACTGGGAACCAGGGTAAGTGACAAAGGAGGCAGGGGTGTGACAAATGGGAAGGAGGGCACAGAGAGGGTGAGTGTAAGGGGGAGACAGAAGGTCCCCCGGCTGCAGATGCCATGGGAGACAGCAAAGGGAAAGGTGGGTCTAAGGAACATTTAAAGACAGTGTTCAGGAGAACTCACAGAGGTATGAATCTGGAGTCTGCCCTTCGAAACTGTGTCCCACCCTCAAAAATAACTGATCACCAAAGACTGTGACAGGCGTGGGGTCTCTGGAGGGGACAAGCCAGCTTGGTGACAGGCGTGGGGTCTCTGGAGGGGACAAGCCAGCTCGGTGACAGGCGTGGGGTCTCTGGAGGGGACAAGCCAGCTTGGTGGCGGGTTTTTTGCTTCCACATTATGTAACGCACCTCCTCTCCTCTCAGCTCCTGCAGCTAATTGCCAAATCCCAGTTAACTTCGCTGAGTGGTGTGGCACAGAAGAATTACTTCAACATCTTGGACAAAATTGTTCAGAAGGGTAAGATGATGACCACGTGTTTGATAGCAAGTGCAGTGCGAGGAGATGGGGCTCTTCTTCATTCCTCACTATGTATGCTGTCAACAGCGATGATGTCCAGTGATGCTGTCATGTTGGGATGGGCTATTACCACAGGACAGTGAAGGATCCCTGGGTTTTAGAGAAGTTTCACCTCGTTGAGGTAGCTGGTCTGTCTACCTTAGCCATGTGACCCCATAACTGTGGCTGTGGCCATGGCGTAGTCACTAAGGTATCAGACGAGCCTGTGGCTTTATTCTTAATTTAAGTCCATCTTGGTCACTTACTGGCCAGTAGTAAAAAGAACTTTCAGTTTCACAGTGAGTTAATGTATGTAGGTGAATTGCTGATGACATGTGTAAGCTCATCAGGATAAGTATAAAGGGAAACAGACACTGCCAATTTTATAGTGAAAATTGTAGATGCAGCCAGGAAATATTTAACGTTCTTTTAAATTTCATCATACTTGTGGTATCTCAAAAAAAGATGCCAGTTTGGAGTTGCAGTGAAATTAGATCATTGTTATGGTGGTAAAATACACATTTTTGAATTTTAACCATTTGTAAGCACACAGTTCGGCTGCATTAAACACATTGTCCACCTGGCACCAGAAGGTCCTATGGTCCTGCACTGACCCCCTCCCCTTGCACCCTGGCTCCTCCTGGTGCTGGCACCTACCCAATTTCATCTTTGTTAATGGACTCCACTCTGAGCACAAGTGTGTGGGATGTGGGGTCCATCCCTTTACGACGGCTCCCTTCCCTGCACACAGTGCCCCTTGAGTTCGTGTGTATTGGGGGTTAGGACCCTGTTCCACTTCCATGGGTGCCCATGCACTCTATTCATCTGTGCTGTGTGTGTTCTTGTGTGTTCCAGTCCTCGACGACCACCAGAACCCCCGTCTCATCAAAGACCTCCTCCAGGACCTGAGTTCCACCCTCTGCATCCTCATCAGGGGGGTTGGGAAGTCTGTGCTGGTGGGAAACATCAACATCTGGATCTGCCGTCTGGAGACCATCCTCCGCTGGCAGCAGCAGCTGCAGAACCTGCAGGTCACTAAGGTACAGGGACACACTCATGCGTGAAAGGTGCTGGTGGCTTATTGGAATCTTTGCTTTCAGATGAATTTGGCCCAGAAGGCCCTTGGATAGCTTAGATTGCTTTTGGGTAGACAGTAGAGATGGTTGCCTCTGAGAGGAGAATAGGTAATGAGTTAGTGCGCTGATTTGCCTTCCAGGAAAATGAGATGTTTTGGGCTAAAACAACTGCCCATGAGTCATGGGTGCCTTGCCCTGCCAGCAACTCCAGGGTTCATGCTTGCCCATGTCCCTGTTGTCCTTCACTGTTGTGTGTGGCTCTCCAGCAGAGTGCAGTGGGGGAGAAGATGGTGCACTTGTGTAGGTCATTCTGGTCGGGTTTATTCCAAGAGCTAGTTTCAGCAGGAGTGTTAACACCGTTGACTCCAGTCAGCATCTCAGGTGGGATTTGTGCCTCTCTGGGACTCAGTAAGATAAAGAATAAACGGAACGCATTTCTCAGTGCCCAAGAGATCACTCTTCAGTCTCCAGACTTCCCTCCTGGAAGATGTACGGTGCTGGCTCACCCAGGCCTCACACAAAGCCAAATAATTTCAAGAGTGATCATGGAAAGCCTTAGTTTTCAGCTATTTACCATCTAAACCCGAGATTTACAGAAGAGGAGAGGTTCCTTAATTACGGCCTGAAGTCATGAGTTCTCCGACGTTCAATGTCTGTGAGCACTATGCAGACTGAACAGAAGTAGGTCTGGATGTGGTCCTGCAGTGCCCTGAGCTGTCACACACCTCCTGTCCCCCCATGGCTGAAGGCTGTGATTGGAAGGTCTGTCTGTGACACGCACGTGGTGTGGAAGCCTCATACAAGTGGCCAGGCCACGCACCCAGGTCCCCCTCGTCCCTCATGTGGCCAGCCTGTGTGGCAGTGCCACTGCAGCTAGTGAGCTGGGGGCAGGCAGCCAGCAGGGGTCTGTGGTCAGGGTCCTGAGCAAGAGCTTGTGGCTGAGAAGCTGCAGGTGGGGCTGCTGCTGTGTATCATTTAGACAGAAGTGTGTGTTCACTACGGGCAGGAGGGCAGAGAAGCTGCGGAGTTGGGCTGGGACGCGTCACAATGGGGAAGGAGCAGAGGCAGGGTCATTCCTCCTCACCTCTGCAGCTCCTGGACCAAGAAGGCACTGGCTTCCTTTAGGGTCTTCCTTTCATTCCCACCAGCATGGAGCACGCATGCAGGGAAGGCAGCAGTGGGGATGACCCCCTGACCTGGGCCTGGCTGCACGCTCAGAGCTGGCTTCCCTGTGGCCTTATCCCCTGTGGCCCCAGCTGGAGGTGATGGTCATGCTCACTCCTCACAGTGCAGGTGTGGGCCTGTGAGCCAGTGTGGCGGCTCCAGTAGCAGCTGCAAAACCAGGGACGTAAGGCCTTGTGGGGAAGAGAGCTGTGGCCAAATTGGTGGGAACCTGAGTTCGGGGTCACTGTACGTTGGGAGCCAAGCAGCCTGACTGGGATGGCAAGGGCTGCATGTGTTCGAGGGTAAGGCCAGCCCATCTGCGTGAGGGGCCTTGGTGCATGAGTCCTGGGCACCTGAGTCGGGTGCAGCCCATGCAGACAGACCCCTGGCCACCACTGTCTGCTGGAAAGTGGTGAGAACTCCCTGAGGCAGCGATGAGCAGGAAGTGGAACAGCTCTCAGTGGCCCCTTATGCGCCAGGTCCTCTGTTCTCAGTCCCCTATGCGCTACAGTAGCGTGAGGGCCTGGCATGAGGACAGAGGAGCTTCCATGAGAATGGGGATTGCTGTGGTTGGTGTGCTAGCAAGACCTCCCAAAGCTGTGTTCCTTCACACATGGTGACATGATTACAGGGTTCCTGATGAGAAATGGCTTAGCTAGGCAGTGGGGGGCTGAGTTGAAGGCCCTGTGGCCCCTGACAGACTGTCCAGCCAGACGGCTTGTGCCCCTTCACATTGGAGCAGTCATAGCTGTTCCGAAGGAAACTGCTGGCATTTCTGCTGTGCTGTCTTGTTGGCGGCCACCACAGGGCTGGGTGTTGCAGCACCAGGCTCTCAACACCTCGTGCATCCAGGGTTTTTTCCTACCACCTCCTGTACCCCGATGAGCCTCGTGATGTTAGCAGCAGGATGTTTATGAGCTCCTATGTGACACAGAAGCTCCTCTTCCAAGAAGAAGCACAAAGCAGCAAGTCTGAGTTGTTCCTGTAACTGTGTGAAGACCTGGCCAGGGAACACGCACACGTGTGCTCTTCAGTGTGCGCTCTGCTGTGCACCAGCCCGCGAGACCCTGTAACCACACATGCTCCGTGTGAGCCCCTTGTTCACACCATGTAGCCTATCGGGGGTGCAGGCGCATGTGCCAGTGGGATGGCAGGATCTGAAATGACACATGATCACACAGCAAGTGACATCCCGGGCACTGGGCTGTTCCATAGACTGGCAGCCAGTGCCAAGGCCCACATGTCTTGGGGGTACTGCTGAGGGGCTACGTCCTCCCCACAGTGCCAGGAGAGCACTTCTCTGTCAGGGTGGCCACATGGCAGCGATGAGGACATAGAGATGGCACAGCCAGTCTTTCATCACCTCATCGCACCCCACCCCAGAGATTTCTCCATGGAAGTGCACTGTATGTGGAGATGCCAGGACTGCTAAAGAGAACGGAAACCAGGAAGAAGCCAGTCGTCCTCAGGGCTGACCACTGAGGGCAAGGACACTCAGCCTGTCAGAAGCGTTCAGGTGTGGCCAGGTGTGCAGGCGTCCCCGAGTCCTCAGGACGAGCAGGCTTATCTAACCTTGGCCATGCTCCATCAGAGACCTTGCCCCGTCTGTTGCTGGGAGATTTCCCTGGTGAGAGGTGGGGGGCGGGGTGTGTGCCCAGCTTGGGGCTGAGACATTGTAGTCTGCATCCTGCCCCTCTGTCCCATCCCGCCCCCTCCCATCCCTTCCCTTGCTTTCTCATTCTTTCCCTCCCCTCTCTCCCCTCCTGTCCCTCTTGTCCCCTCCCTCCCAATAGGATGATGCACAGGTCCTTTCTCAGGGACACACGTACAGGCTTGTGGGAGGGAGGGTGCGGCTTCTCCATATGACAGCAGATGCTTACAGCTGGATGGAGCCCTGGTGGTAGGTCAGTGGCTTCATCTCCTCTGTCCACATACCCTCCATCTCTCTTTCTGGTCTTGGTGTCGTGTCTGACGAGTGAATCCTGCACTTGGGGGGTCTGGAGGAGCTGAGGGTACAGACTAGCTTCTGTTCCCCTCAGCCTATCCTCCAGGGTCCCCATGTGGCCAGCTGTTTCTGGATACAGGTGTGGGGCACAGGACTCATGCTGCCAAGTGTGAGGGATGGTGACACTTTGGTCATAACTCTTTAGTGGTGTCACGTCGTGAAGCACTTGGCCACTAGGCCCTCTTGTAGCCTGATGCTCCCAGGCATCATGTGCAGTGAGATGCTGTCCACTTCCCTTCCAGCAGGTGAATGATGGCCTCACGCTCAGTGACCTCCCTTTGCACATGCTCAACAACATCTTGTACAGATTCTCCGACGGCTGGGACATCGTCACGCTCGGCCAGGTGACCCCAACGCTGTCCGTGCTCAGCGAGGATAGGCAGCTGTGGAAGAGACTGTGTCAGTACCACTTTGCCGAGCAGCAGGTGAGTGTGGTGGCCTTGGGGCCGCAACAGAGCGTCACTTGGAGGGGGGCTGGTATGCGCCCCTCGCCCATTTCTAGTGACCACATTTGGCTCTCCCAGCCTCCCTGGCCGCGCCCCACGCCTGTAGACCCAGCTTTGGGGACTAGCCTGAAGCATATTTGTGTGCGGCCCGCTGGGCGTTCCAGGGTGCTTACTCCTCCTGCGGGGCTCTGTGAGAGTCACACGCACGTGTGGGGCATCTGCTCTGCGCAGGGCAGCAGGGCACAGGTTGAGGAGCCTGATGCAGCACATCCTGTCAGAGACGGGTTTGGGTGCAGCTGGGACAGAAGGGTAGGAGGACAGAACTGTGGATGCATGGCCCAGGGGAGGCTGTCACTCTTGGTGGAATGGGGGTGGGTGGGGGTGTCTGAGTAAATGGAGGTTGCCTTGGTACAGAGCAGAGCAAACTGTCTGTAGCCCTCAGAGTCTTGTGGATGGGGGTGCAGTGGCCATACCAGGTCCTGGGGTTTTCCCAGCAGGCTTAGAAGAGCCACAGAAGAGCTGGGAGCAGAGTATGGAATCCAAGACATCACCCCCCTCCAGGAGGAGGGGGGTGGCCAGAGAAGAAGCCAGGGCACTGAGGTTGGCTGGTGTAGCAAGTCTCAGTAGCTCTCGCCCCGGGGAACTAGACGAGGAGGTGGGTGAGCTGTTGTGAGGTGTCCAGAGGACAGCGGGCAGGGATCGCTCTTCAGCTGGATGAGGAAGGTGGCTCCAGCAGCTGAGTTCAGGAGTGGAAGGGGCACAGGCCCCTGAGAGCCCAGAAATGCTGCCAGGGGTCCTGAACCATCAGCTCAGCAAAAGTCCTTGGGGTTTAGCTATCGGGAGCCTGCGGGGACCCTGGAGAAAACTGAGGTAGATTTGTTGGAGTAGAAACAAGTCAGGATAAACTTGAGGTGGGAAGAAGTATTAACTTGTAACCTCTGCATAGGAGATGGTGGTGTTGAAATGTTTGGAGGGGGGGATGGGAGAAGCCAGGAGAAGAAGGTTCTCCAGGATGGAGGAGGCAGGTCAGGCTTGCCTTGGGTGCTGGCTTCACGGTGCTGGTGGGGATGCTGGAGGATGCGGGTCTGCTGGGCTGGGATACATCTGAGTGGCTGCTCCAAGTCACGCCTTGCTGTTTTTCCAGGGTGGGAACTGGAGAAGGTCCACCGGCCATTTTTGAGTCCATGCATGTCCTTAAATAACCCGGGTACCCTGCACCAGCATTTCCTGTCGATGCTTATCGTGAGCGGTCGGTGCCCACAGGTGACCCTGGCCTGCACATGCTGTGTATAAAAACAGTGTCAAAAAGGTTGTGTGTCAGGGCTCAGTGAGTGACAGGGAGATGCTGAAGGAAGACAAGTACGTTGGGAACGACTTGACAGCAGGGTGGGAGGGAGCACACCTGCCCACAGAGTGGCCAAGGGGCATGAGGTCACCCTGGGAACAGTGGCTGCCGGGCATCCCCACAGGAGCTGTGGCATGATGTGGGGCTGGCGGGGGACAGGCTGGGAAGTGAGCCCATAGATGGGAGTCTTCTCTTCACGGTACTTGAGGACAGGCACGTCCTCGGAGCTGGGCCTGAAGCTGTGTTTGCTCCTTTGTCAACCTGTCCTCTTTTCTGGTTCTGTTAGAGACAGGAGCCTGTGCCTCTGCTCCGTGGGAAGGGCATAACCGGCCCTCAGAGCCCATGTGAGGGGCATGTAGGTGTGCAGGTGACAGTCTTTAGTTGTAAACGGGGGCCTGCTCCTCAGGGCTGCCATCAGGAGGAGCTGGGTGATGTTTGAACCCCTGGGGCCCTCCTCCCTCAGCACGGCCCCAGGAGCCCCTTCGGGCTTCTCCACAGACACACAACGTGCCTCTGGCCGTGGGTGCACTTCCCAAGGCTGAAATCCTTCCCCCATGTTCTACCCTCTTCACATGGTGCCCCATCTCCTCAGGAACAAACGGTCGCCCTACATGGCCCCGCACCTGCCCCCAGCCTGGCACAGTTCCCTGGTCTGGAGAACCGTCCCTCTAAGTGCTACCATGCTGCTGGCCGTCTGTTGCCCCCCGGCCATGGCCTGCAGTGCCACCCTCCGCTCCACAGCTGCTCAGCATCTGCTCTGTGCACGGACCCCATTTCCACTGGCCATTGCCCTGCTGGTGGACGTCTGTGTTCTTTCCACCTTGTGGGTTTGGTGGATCCTACAACTGTGAGGACATACACGTTTTTGTGTGGACGTTTGTGTTCATTTCTCTTGGGTGCACAGCTAGGAGTGGAAATGCTGGCAGGTGTCAAAGTTTGGAGGAGCTGCTATGCTGTTGCCCCTAGCAGCTGCACCACTGCACCTTGCCGGCCGCCGTGCACGCGGCTTCCGGCGTCTCTGCACCCTCACCAGTCAGGGCTCATGGTTAACTGGGTTTTCTATTGCAGCTGGCCTAGTGGGCGTGCACCTCATTCTGCATCCTTGGTGATGGAGAGTGGCACCCCAGCCACCTCTGCACCAGGTCCCCTGCCCTGTTAACAGTCGGGTTGTCTCCTTCTTACAGAGATGCGAGTGTTCCTCCTGTGTTCTAGGTACAGGCTCTTAGATACCTTGCGTGTGTGACATAATTTTACCTTACTAGAGATTGTGGGCAAGTCCAGACCAGAGTGCTCACAGCTGCCACGTGCTGTCCCACCGTACACACGCCGTGGTTCATGTGGTTAGTTCCTCACTGATTTGGTCCGTGGGCGTTTGAGTTCACAGAACTGGATGTTCCACGCACCACGTCGTGTTGTCCCTGACATGTTGTGAAACCATCTGCTGGTTCTCAACGGAATTTTGTCTGTCAGTTTTGTAGACATCTGATCCTTTCAGAGAAGGGCCACGTGGAGTGGAAGCTGATGTACTTTGCCCTACAGAAGCACTACCCGCCCAGGGAGCAGTACGGGGACACCCTGCATTTCTGCCGGCACTGCAGCATCCTCTTCTGGAAGGTAACCATCTCGGACGGTTCAGTGTTGGGGAGGCAGATTCTTTGCGTCTATTTTAGGTGTCATGGTAGAAAAAAATGGGAAATTGTAATGAGAAAATGGGATTTAAGACACCAAATATTGGGGCTGGGTAATAGATTGACGGAAGTAAAACACAGCTTGTGGTTTGAGTCGGAAACATTGGGAAGCGAAGTGTGTGTTTCTGCCTCTGGTAGATGTTTGCTGGTAAGACGTGTGTCCCCAGGGGAAGTGGGGTGCCTGGCACCTGGTCCTGGGTCAGTGCCGGGTTCCTGTCAGTGGTTCTGGGCGCCATGCCAGCCCTGAGCCTGAGAAAAACGGGCTGATGTCTCCCTGTGCTTTACAAACCTAATGCTCCTTAGCGGGTGCCCCAGGCTTGGCGTCCAGTCCGGGGCCCTGTGCCCCCAGTGACCCTTCTGCTGGCATCTCCTTGTGACTCCCCTCCATGCCAAGCCCCTGCCACATGGAGGTGACAGCCTTTCAGAGAGACACGGGGTTTCCTTGTTTGATCAAAGCTGAACCAGAGTCTCCTGACTCACACTTGTAGTCGGAATACCCGGGGCACTGGATACCCTTCACCCTGCGACCTCCTCTTACACAGACCCGGGCTTGGTCTGTTCACGGTCGGGAGGAGAGCTCATGTCACAGTCTCCTTGACCATGAGCACGTTTATGTTGTGAGATGACCCAGCTCGTTCGGAGGCGAGTGTGATCCGTGTGCACATCCTGCATGGGTGTGCCCCCCCCCCCCCCGGTGCTCCTGGGGGGATGGCCATTGACTTCTGGTCACACCATCCCTGCTTATTTTTTGCTCTATGTTTACCTGTAACTTGTTACATGGATCGCATGGCAAGCTCTAGATTGTTGGAACAGAGACGAGCACTTGAGATTTTCTTGCCTCAGAGCACGTGTAGATAGAGCGTGCAGTGGTGTGGAGCATGATTCCTGTGCTACTTCAGTGGAGGCTTACTAACTACAGGGAAGGGAAGCAGCCGCACCTCTCCTACGCCCTGTGCACGAGCGCCATGAGGGTTTATTTCTCAGTCCCTGATATCTGTTTTAGTATGACTCTCATCTCGGAATTAAAAAGACAGTACGTGTTCCATGTTTTACAGTTGTAGTTGTTTTGTAGAACACGGTTCCTTGAGGGCAGAGCATCGGGGAGCAGGCCTGTTCCTGACTGGGTCTGACGAGTGAGTCCTCGAGCCCATCAGTCGGGGAGTGGGGCTACTGGCCAGTGCGAGGGGGCCCGTGTCTCCAGTCCCAGGGTGCAGGCCCCACCACGGGAGGGGGTGGTGTGCACATCACACACAGCAGGTGGTTGCGGACATAGAGGAGTGGGGGGTGGGCGTGTCACCTGATGGGACCAGGCTGACCCACTCAATGTGGTTCCTCCTCCGGGAGTACCTCTGGCACCAATGCACACCCACCATGAGGACCTCACCGTGCTGTTGGAGTCCGTACCCGAGTGGGATCTGGTCTGGGCCTCACAGGCCCCTGAGAAGGCACCCTTCCTCTGTGGTTCCACGGCGGCTCTGTTCCTTCTCCTGCCTGCTCTGCAGCTGGATTTCTGTTCTTCTCAACTACCTGAAACTCCAGTGGGGTGGGCTGGGGACTGGACAGAAGGAAGCCAGTTAGAGGCCAGGACTCGGGGTCAAGACTGTGTTGTGTCTCTTTGTCTTGGTGCATTTGCCACCAAAGTACGTGCAGCAGCTGGTATTGACGCTGCTGGTCTGGGGTTCCCGGTAGGATCAAGATCCGTCTCAGCAGATCTGCAATGAGCAGCAGAGCCCACGTGTTGGAGCAGGTTCCTGCACCTGCTTGAGTGCTGTGCCCACAGGATACACCAGTGGCCCACCCTGGTCTCTGTAGTGAGGACAGCTCGCAGCAGGCGGGCGGGGTCCCACTCATCTTGACCCCAGCGGGTGGCGGGCAGGGGTGGCAGAGGCGGCAGGCTGGCGCAGACACAGCGTTGACAAAGCACAAATAAGCAGAAAGGAAAGTAAGGTGGAGAGTGGCTGCGTGACTCCTGGGCACGTGGCAAAGCAGATGCTGGGATGTGAGGGAGAGAATAAATGACTTTCCAAGATGTGTTAGAAATGTTTTCCGTACAAACTGTGGGGACATCAGCCTCACTTTGCGTGTGTTGTGTGAAGTTCTGAGGAATCCGGTCAGTACTCCTCCCTGTCTCAGGGCCCTCTTCAGGATGGATGGGCGGGGGGGGTGGGGCCATGCCGTCTTCTGCGTGTGCTCACGGCCCAGCTCCATTACCAGCCGGTTTCACCCACACGTGGATCGTCGTCATCACACTGGATGCTGCGAGCAGCCTGCTCTCTCTAACATTGGTTTTCCTTTCTCTCCCCTCCCTGCACTCCTCCCGGTTCTTTCTCCACGACCTCAAAGGACTGCCGCCTTGCTTTGTTGTTCAAGGTACCTCCTAGACCAGGCCTCGAGTCGCGTCCCCTGCATGCTCCCCCGCCGGCCGGGGCTCTCGGCACGTGTGCAGCCTGCCGCGGGAACCACCCACCCGAGCAGCTCACGGGATGTCCCGTGGGCCAGGGCTTGAGGGGCAGGCCCGGCCTTAGGGGGCGTGGTAGATGTGTCTGTGAGATTTCAGCCGCGGTGCACATGTCAGCGCCTCGTGGGCCGATGCGGCGTGGCCCCCAGCTCCCTCCGGCCTGTGTTCTTTGTCAGCCTTGCAGCACGCCTATTCCGTTAGTCATTTCTCCTGATAAATAGGACCCTGGTTTCCAGCTGAGTGCAAGCTCCCTGGGGGCGCCCAGCTGTTGGGGCGGGCGTCCAGGGACCAGGCGGGAACCAGAGGGACAGTGCAGAAAGGGAGCTTTGGGGCCACCTGTCTGCGGACAACCCCCATGGCTGCCTTTGTCTTTGTAACACTGCTGCTGTGTGTCCTCCATGCGTCGTCGTGGTGGGACCTGGGTGCGTCAGGACTGCCTGCTGGCAGCCGCCCTGTGGTGACACCTCTCCCTCCTCCCGCAGGACTCGGGGCACCCCTGCACCGCCGCCGACCCTGACAGCTGCTTCATGCCCGTGTCTCCGCAGCACTTCATTGACCTGTTCAAGTTCTGAAGGCGCCCCGCCTGCTGCCGTCTCGCCATTGCTGCGCTGCAGCCAGTGAGCCAGGGGGACGCCAACACGGAGAACGCTGCGCCCCTCCCCATGTGGACGTGGCAGGGCTGTGGTGTGGGGTTTTTTGAAAAGCAATTGGGGAACCCAAGCAAAATCATTTCTACTTTCTAAAAATCCTCTTCATTTAAGTTCACTAAGGTTTGCAACATTGTGTATTTATAAATATAGTTCAGTAAGATTCTGGATTCTTAGCACCACATTCTGTGTGGGACTGACACTTACAGCTAATACTGTGCTTCTCAATGTCACATCATAGTTTCCTGATTTTGTAGTAATGAGGGGCAGGGGACGGAACAATTGATCCTTGTAAATATGGGCTGCAGAATATTTATTTTTCTTAATATGTATTTTAAGTGCATTGGTTTTGTCCAAGTGAGTCCTGTTCGGATGTGGAGTGGACCTGGGCAGCAGGTGGAGCCTTGCACTCAGTGGTTAGGCTGTGAACTGTGCACGTGGGCTGTGGCCAACAGCTGTGGATGGCACGGCAGCCGGTGCAGCCTCCATGTCACTATCACGGACAAAGTAATAAATCCTGTTTATCTGCTCATCTGACTTCATCCATTTTGCATCTTACTGAAAAAGTAGTGTCAGTGGTTTTGATATCATTGATTTAAACCTATTTTTAAAATAATGCATGTCTATTTTAGATAATTTTGAAAATAAAGGTGTATGAGAGAATATATACAGTCACCCATCATCACTGTTCTGCCACAAGCACCGTTCCCCTCCCAGCGGCCGTGGGAGAGCAGTGTGAGCCCATCCTCCTTCAGTTTTTTTCTAAGTGTATTAAAATGGTTTGCAGTTTTGCATATCTGTAAATAAAAATTCTGGATTTTCACTATCACCGTCTGTGTTGAACTGGTGCCGAGGGCCAGCGAAGTGCTTCCCGCCTGATGACCACTTCCCTCTGGACGCGGTGTGGAGCCCAGGGCCTCTGTGGGGCCAGGAGGAGCTTGTCCTGTTGCCTTTGGCATCCTGTTCATCTCTTTTCCTTTTACAACCAGCCATTTTTTCAAAAGCATTTTTGAAAACGTGGGTTTTATTGGCTGCTTACCCTCATGGCCAGCAGGATGCTGCTGATCGTTAACCAGAGTAACTGATGAGCAGCCTGTCAAGAGCCTGTTTGCAGCTGCCTGTGTCCTTGAGACGGATGAGGAGTAGAACCTGATGTGCCACACAGTCTGAGGAGGCATCCTCTCTCCTGCGCTGTTATTCTAAGTGAAGGATAAGGTGTGTTACCAACTGTTTTTTTTTCTTTTTTTGTTAAGTTACCTAATATGTGTTCTTTGCCTGTTTTCGGTTTGTTATATTAATTTTTTCTTAAGAGGACATTGAAGCTTGAGCTCTCATGAGCACTGCCATTGTGCCCTGGTATCTCGGCGCCGCAGGCAGCGGATGTGGCAGGACATCCTGCAGTGCACGGGAGGCCCAGGTGTGCGAGGCCCAGATGTGCATGTGAGGTTGGGCTGGGGGCGGTGGTGGCTTTTCAGCATCATGGTGGCTGTCAGGCACCTGCAGACAGGGTGAGGTGCAGAATTGTCATGAAATCACACACTGGAATGGTGTTTGTGAATACGGGTCTGTTGGGGGACCTCCCAGAGGTCAGAACAGGGAGAGTCAAAGAACCTGTCTCACGTGCCTTCAGCCCCTAAAAGGACCCAGCCGAGGTGTTGGGTTATCCTCAACATGGGACACTCACCCCTTTGGCCCCAATAGGCACTGCCAGCCAGGAAGTCCATCCAGACACAGCTTCCTCTTGCCCCTTTCCAGGCACAAAAAGATGTTTCTTACCTGGACCATGGACACGAGGACTGAGGTGGCCTTTGTGACAGCTCACCACGTACCACAGTTGACTGCTCAGGTGTCTGTACTGAGAAGCAGGTCTGCTTTAGGACAACGTTTAAGGATCTGACTGCATACAACTTGTGCCATAAATACCGCCCTTAGAATCCCATACAAACACCCACATAAAATGCTTCTGTGTTTTGTGCTTATGAGTTTGTTGGGCTCCTTGACAAACTCAATGTAGTGGTAGTTGTGTGAGTTCCTCGTGAGTGGTTACCAGCAGCTTGTGTGTAGCGCGCTGATTGCCCAGGCTGGAACCTGCAGTGCCGAGCTTACAGCAGAAGCAGATGTCAGGGAAGGCTTTGTCTTTTCTCTCTGTGAGGTTGACTGTGTGGTTTTTGTAGATTCCTTTATCTGGTCGGGGCTAAACCTTCCAGTCCTACTTTTTTTGAGGATTTTTTTAATCATGAAAGAGTATTCGATTTCATCAAGTTTTTTTTTCTTTTTTTTCATCTATTGAGATTGTGTGGCTTCATTCTTTATCTTGCTTCTGTGGTGAATCACATTGGTTGATTGTTGTTTCTTTAAGATTTTATTTTTAAGTTATCTCCACACCCAAAATGGGGCTCAAACTCACAGCCCTGACATGAAGAGTCACACACTTTGCTGACTGAGCTAGCCCGGTGCCCCACGGTTGATTTTTGTACATTGAACCATCCTTGCATTCTGGCCTCAAATGCCACTTTGTACAGTTGTTGGTTTTGATTTGCTGTTGTCATCCTGAGGCTGTCTTTTTTTTTTTTTTAAGATTTTATTTATTTATTCATGAGAGAGACAGAGAGAGAGGCAGAGACACAGGCAGAGGGAGAAGCAGGCTCCATGCAGGGAGCCCAACGTGGGACTCGATCCCGGGACTCCAGGATCACGCTCTGGGCCAAAGGCAGGCGCTAAACCACTGAGCCACCCAGGGATCCCCTGAGGCTGTCTTTAAGGAGACATTAGTCTGCGCTTTCTGGTGCTGCCTTCATCTTGTTTTGGTGTCAGGGTGAAGACGTCTTGGCAGACTTAGATGAGCTTGCCTCGGAGGTGGTCCTGCTGTTTTGGGGGAAGAGTTTGTGAAGGATTGGTGTTAATTCTGATTCCACATGAGTCATGGTTACTAAGGAGTGGTCTCGTTCTTGGAAAATCCTTTCTCTTTCAGAGGCTAAGGCCACCCTAAGATAAATGGTCATGACATGGACTCTGCTGCTTGGCTCCATAACTACCAGCAGGAAGGAGTGTTGCCCTCTGAAAACCAGTCTCAAGAGGCAGAAGCTCTCGTGTTTATGAGATGTAACGTTACTTCCTTCATGAACTGTGTGCAGATGCATGCATGACCCCACCCTCCGCCCTTCATTCCTACCTTGTGCAGCACCAGACGCTGCCCAGTGAAATGCCCAAGGGCTGGGCACAGGCACCAGGAAGGCCATTAGGACCTGCCTGCCCTGGGCGCCTATCCAGTCCCCTTACCATCTACTGTCTCAATGGATTGGATTACCCTGGATGCAGAATATACGTGGAATCATGATACTTGTCCTTTTGTGACCAGCTTGTTTCACTTAAAATAATGTTCACAGGGTCCATCCATGCTGTGGCCTGTCTCAGGATTTCATGACTCTTTAGGGCTGAATAATGTTCTGTTGCATGGATAGACCATGTTTTGATTTGTTCAGCTGTGAATAGACATTGGGTGGGCTTCCAGCTGTTGACTGCTATGAACTTGGGTGCGCACGTATCTCTTCAAGACTCTACTTTCACTTCTTCATTGCATTACACATAAGCAGAATTGGTGAGCCAGATGGTAATTCCATGCTAATCGAATTTTGAGGAACTAGTATACTATGTTCCACAGACGCACCATTTTATATCCCACCAACAGTGCACAAGTGCTTGTTTCTCCACATTCTTGCCAACACTTATTTTCTGGAATTGGTTGTTTTATACATTGACCAGCCTAACAGGTGTGAAGTGGTGTCTCCTGGTGTTTGGATTTGCATCTCCTTGGTGATTAGTGGTCTGGAGCACCTTCTCACATGGCCATCTCTGTGTTGTATTTGGAGAGATGTCTATTCACATCCTCTGCCCATTTTTTAATCAAGTTGTGTGTTTTTGTTGTTGAGTTGCGTGAGTTCTCTGTATAGTCTAGAGATTAACTCCTTACGGGTATGAGACTGGAAGATATTTTCCCCCCATTCTGAAAGTCACCTTTCACTGTTGTGTCCTTCATGCATGCAAGTGTTAATTTGATAGAATCCATTTCCCTTTTTCCTGTTGGTGGCTGAACTTTTCGACTCCTATCTAAGAGATCATTGACAAATCCAAGGTCATGAAACTTTCTCCCTGTTTTTTTTTTTTCCCCCCAGGACTTTTACAGTTTTATTTAGCTTATATGTTTAGGTCTTTGGTCCATGGAGTTAATTTTTGTGTATAGTGTAAGTTAAGGCCCAGCTTCATTTTATGATATCCAGTTATCCCAGCACCATTTGTTGAAAACACTGTTTCCCCCACTGAATGGTGTTGGCACCTTTGTCGAAAATCATAACTGTGTATGTGATGGTTTATTTCCAGCCTCTCTGTTCTCCCATTGGTCTGCGTGTCTATCTGTGTGTTCTTATGCTAGGACTAAACTCTTTTCATTCTTGTAGCTTCATAGTGAGTTTGGAAATGAGGATATGTGAGTCCTCCAACTTTGCTCTTTTTCAGGATTGTTTTGGCTATTTGGGGATTCCTTGAGAGTCCATGTAAATTTTAGGATTTTTTTCTATTTCTGCAAAAACCACTATGGGCTTTTGATGAATGCATTTAATCTACAGATAACCTCGAGTGGTGTTGCCATCTTAATAATACAAAGTCATACAGCCCATAGGCACAGGATGTCTTTCCGTTTATCTGTGTCTACTTGCTGGCCACATGCTATAGTTTTTAGTGTACAATACTTTAATCTCTGTGACTGAGTTTATTCCTACGTATTTTATTCTTTGTTGCTGTTATAAATGGGATTTTCTTCATTTTCTTTTGCAATTTCTCATTGTTCACGTAAAGAAATGCAACTGTTGTTTTTATATTGATTTTTGTATCCTGCAACTTGCCTGAGCTTGTCTGTTCCATTTATGATGGTGGTTTTTGGTTTTCTTGGAATTGTTTTGGTAGAATCTTTAGGGTTTCCTACAAATAAGATCATACCATCTATAAACAGATAATATGACTTCTTTACTGTTGAGATGCCTTTTCTTTTTCTTGTCTAACTGCTGTGGCAAAAACTGAGTATGATGTGTAATAGGAGTGGTGAGAGTGGACATTCAGACTGAATGAGAGTCTCATTCAGTAAGTGTAAGGTCTTTTTATCCATTCCTTAGTAAGTCAAGGCAAATTTCTTCTATTCTGGATCAGTTATTTTTTTTTTTAACCAAATGCTTTTTCTGCATCAATGGAAATGGCTATGTTCTTCCCCTCATTCTATTAATGTGTGTAATAAATTTTCGCTCGGTGGGTTTTATCCTCTCCAGTAGAGGATTGACTATCTCTACTGTTATCCTAGAGCTGCCTGCTTCCTCCCACAATTCTGTCACTGTTGGCTGCAGGTATTTTTATAATTAGTTATATCTTCTTGATGGATTCTCAACTGGTTTTTATTTAAACAACATGAAGATGATGAAATTATAGGACGTCTAGGATTGACTTTTTTTTTAAGATTTTATTTATTTATTCATGAGCGACACACACAGAGAGGCAGAGGGAGACACAGGCAGAGAGAGAAGCAGAGTCCCTGCAAGAAGACCAATGTGGGACTCGATCCCAGGACTCCAGGATCGTGCTCTTAGCCAAAGGCAGACGCTTAACCACTGAGCCACCCATGCATCCCTGGGATTGACTTTAACATCATTGCTCAGTCAGGAGTACTGAGATAAAACAAAATTGGATCATCACTCAGGCCAGAAGGATGGGTACACACAGGAGTTTATACCAAGGGCTCAGCAAACTTGTTCTGTAAATATATTGGGCTTTGTGGGCCAC